GTCCCTGACTCAGTTTTGTGAGAATGAGTACTCATGGCTGCCGGTGGCCACATGGAAATGCCTTCTGGCTAGCACTTTGCTTCAGTGTTTATAGGGCTTTCAGAACTGGAGGGATGAACCTTTTAGGACTGTCCTCTTCCTTGCTTCCCAGCCTAATGTCCATGAATGAAACATTGGGATTGTTTGGACTACATGCTGGGAAACGAAATGAGGTATGTGAGGTGTTTTGCCCAGAGTTTGGCCTGTAGAGTAGTCATTCAATAAATGTTACTTATGGTACCACCCTGCCTTTCATATCTGATTTTGACTCATGATAGTTTTTGTAGGTTAAAAAAGTCTAAAGCTTTAAAATATTTAATACTTTTAAAGAACATTAACCATTGAAAATAAGACTTGTGTCCCTTTAGTGCCTTTAGTCATAAAATCCTGTGTGGCAGCATTCACTTGCATCACGGTTTAAAACTCAGACTCTGGGGCTGAACTGCTTGAGTTTAAATCCTGGCTCTGCCGTTTACTAGCTGCGTGACTTTGGGCAAGTTTAAATCGCCTCTCTGTATCTGCCCTATAGAATTGCCAATGCCTGGCAGGTACTTAAGAATTTATTAAAATAAAGCAGATGTTATTCATATTTTACTATTATTTTTAGGAGTCCTTTCTAATAAATGACTTCAGGCAGACAGCACAGGCCCAAGGAAAGGCGTGCAGGTGATGTAGGGATGGATGTGGCGGCGCCTCTGCTGAACACTGCAGGTTCAGTACAGCGATGGAGTGTCTGCGGGGCTGTGAGGCCATGACACAGGCTAGTGATGTGGGCGTCAGGAATTTTGTGTGTTGTGCTTCCACCTCCATCCCTGGCAGTCTAGATGTGTGTGGTAAAGGCTGTTCAAGGAGAGAGAGTTGGAGTGGCAGCATTAAAGAATGTTAAAATAACCTATAATCCTAGCATCCTGATTAAACCAGTTGTGTTTTTCTGTGGTATTTTATCTGGATTTGCACATAGTTTAAGCTTAGATTCTGTACTGTTTTGTAATCTGTTTATAGCCAACAAATATGTTTTTCTGTCTCTGTCTTGTATTTCTAAATGTTGTAGTTGCAAAGTAAAGGAGGAAGTTGTTTTTCACTAAATAAAGTGAACTGAAGTGTTTTAGAAATTTCACAATTGTTCAGTCCCTGTTGAGGAGACTTTACTCCCAAGCACAAGGTGAAAAGCTAAAGTCGTTTACATGGGATTTCCTACTATTCCTCTTGGAGTAAAAATTCCGTGTTTCACAATGAGGGTTGTATAACATCTTCCCAGCGTTGGGGGAAGTTTTCTTATTCAGATTCTTTTTAAGCAATGTAACTTCCTGCTCAAAAAAGGACACGGAATTGGTTTTATGTCTGCAATGAGAATAGTTAGTCAGATATTTTTCCCACAGATATTTTTATGGGGGAGGTCACTGCTTTATCCTCCTTTCCATGAACTTTGTTTTGTTATAAGAGTCTGCCAAAAGCCAAGTTCTCATGTGAGGGACTGTGCCCAGTTCACAAAGGAAAGATGACATTTAAATCTGATGGACAGTACAGTTGAGAATCGTGGTTTTCCCATCCTTCCTCTTAGGTTGCTTGGGAAGAAATGCCCTTTAAGAAGGAGTGGTAAGAATTAGTCCCAGATGCATGTTTGGAGCTTTAGAAAAGGAAGACTGGGCCGTTCTCAGAAGTGGGGCTGGGAGCTACTAGGCGTTCTCATTTCCTTTTCTTTGGTGAGTCTTGGAAACTTCATAGGCTTCATGACCTTGTGCCTTGGGTCTTTTCCGTTTTGAGCCAGCCCTTGAGACTTCACTGTTGACCTGGATGAGCCTTGTGGGAAAAGGAGGAGATCCAAAGAGCCTTGGGTTGGAAACCAGATGGCTGTGCCATCTCAGCCTTGTCACTGAACACAGGTGTAACATTTAGGCAGCTCAGTTGACCACCCTCCCACCCCCACCTACTCCCCGACTCCGTTTTTCTTACTTGCCTCTCACCTTCCCTAAGGGGGCACAAGTGAGAAGTGGGCAGGAAAAAGCTTTGCAGACTGGAATCCTTGAGCAAACATAGGTGCGGATGGTGTTCCTTTGTGAGCTACAAAACCCTGTCTTGACTGAGATGATGGGAGGCTCTGGCTGGGTCTTGGTCGTAGAAATAAAAGCCGGAATTGCGGTGGATGAAGTTGGAAATCTTGGCCAGGGTTGGCAAGCCCAATGTTTTCCTCAGAGTATTCCCAAAAGAAGGTTTGGCGCTTTCCATGATAGAAACTTCAAACCATTTCTTCAGATACTCATAGCCCTGCCCCATAACCTAGATACATAACTGGCTCATTTATCGGGAATCATCTCACACATTATTTACCCTGAATCTTTTCCTAGCAAAATTAACTTCGAGGTTCACAGTAAAGTACTGTGTGTCCCTTTTTTCTTATTTAAGATGTCCTCTTTTACTCCAGATATTTTGGTAAGTCTACTGATAATTCATATTCCTTATCTGAGCTGAAAATTTCTGCCAAGTAGTTAGCTGTTCACAGTGTGTGCTGTTTTCTTCCTGAGTGCACTTGCACATCTTTTTTTTCTCATTGTGGTCTTTATCTGATCACCTTCACACCTTTCCTTGTTGCCTTTTCAGCCTGTTCACAAACATGAAGGGTCCAAGATCTTAGAGAGCAGAGATACTGGGTCAAGTGATGCTTTAGCTTTAGGAGAGTTATCCCAATTTAGAGAGAAAAGTGTTTTGTCTAAAATCTGGAAGCCAAAATTAAGAAAAGCTTAAAACTATCTATGACTGATTTTCTAAAAAGATGACTAATGCTTTTAACTGTATGAAATAACCATGCAAATACATTCTAAGTGTCCAGTTGAGCTCTTGTGACCTTGCAAATAAGCCTATAGCAAAGAAGTTTAGTTTGCCAAAGGTGTACTGGACTTAGACCTTCCCCTTGCTTATGAGGTTTTCCCAAAAGCTTCTTTGAAAGGAGCTGACCTAAGTAGAGTATGGACCCTAGACTTAGGTGTAGAAATTTTGAATTATTCAGGTTGCGTGTGACTTGGGGCCCTTTAAAACTGTAATCAAGGAGTAAGAAATGTCTTGGTTTTTTTACTACCTTCCGTGGAGGAAGTTTAAGAAAGCTCTTTCTTGGTAGCTCAGTGGTGGGATCTTGAGGGGTAGAGATGAGTAGTGGTGGAGAAACGAGGGGAGAAATGGGGTAGAAATGGGTGACTGTACTTAGGTGAGCTGAGGGCACCCATATAACTTCATCATCAGCTGTGTTCTCTAGATGTGCAAAGGCTTTGTGGATTGGGGCCATGTGGTAGGGACTAATTTTTAAAAATCATCTTTTACTTACATGTCCATAACCAAAGCTATTTAGCCGTGGTAAATACAAGCAACTAGATTAGGATCTACTAAACAGGTTTTAAGAAACACAGAGTAGCTTGTGGATTCCCGTGTATTAATCTGGGCTGTCCAACATGTAATAACTTCATAGCATTCTCAGCATGGCATATACTTCTACCTTGGGACTATTTGTTAAAATCCAGTGAACTTAAAAATTATCTTATTAAAAAAAACAACAACAAAGTAACCACCACTTGTGATTAAAAAATAGTTATACAACTTTGTTCTAGAGGTCAAAGGTGAGTGGCTCCTGTTTGATGTGGTGGCCTTGGAACCTCATTGCTTTAGCTGGGATTTCAGCTCTGCCTTTAACACAGTTTCCTCTTTAAATCTGTTTCCTGAGGTATAAAATGGGAGTAAAAGTAGCAATACCTACTTCATAGGCTCACTGTATCAAGTGAGATATAGCACAGTGCCTGCAACCTCATACTACTTCGGGATTCTTTTCTAAGGATAAAGTCTCAGTCATAGAATTAATCTGAAAAGAAAATTCTTTACAGTGTATTGCCATTTAGGGGGTTGTTCTTTTACAGGTTATCCATCTCAATAATGTTAGAACTCTGGAGTTACATCCCCAGCAAACCATGTCATTACTCTTTCTTTATTCTTCTGTTGCCTACAGCCTGAAATCTGTCCTTGGCCTTTGATATTTCACTAAAATGTCATTTTATTTCTCTTTTCCTTTTTGCTACAAACAACAGAGATCTTAAGTATACTCTTTGAATTTTAACAAATGTATACACCCATGAAAGTCTAATCCTGATCAAGACATGATACGTAGTATATATCTATACCTTAAGAAGTTCTGTCTTGCCCCTCTCCAGTCAAGACCTCCACTCCTATCGCCTTCAGATTTCTAGGGCCTAGATTAATTTTACCTTCTTTAAACCTAATGTAAATGGAATTTGAGGTTCATCTTTCACTCATAATGTGCTCCTGTTGCTAATAGCTAGAGTTTCCTTTTTATTGATGGGGGTTATTCCATTGTGTGAATGTAGCACAGTTTGGTAAGCAGTTCTTCTGTTGATGGTATTTGTGGTGTTCTGTTTTTGGCAATTAGGATAAAGCTGGTGTGAGTCTTTTCATGTTATCTCTGAATACTTGTGTGGTTAATGGCCTCTCCATCTCCTACCCCGGCAACCCTGGTCAAGTGTCTTAATCTCTCTGCCCTGGTTTTCTAATCTGTGAAATGGTGAGTTGGGAAACAGTTCAGGGTTGGGACCACCATTTTCTTTTAAAAAATGTAATAGAATAAAATAAAAAACTTAGAGTGAATTACATGGAACTGCAAACATTGTAACACATATAAATATAATTAGATGTGTGTGCACATGTGTGTAATGGGTCGCAATGGAAAATGTAGTTATTATTATGCATTGTGGGCAAATCAGTTTGCAACACACTAATTTGTATGCATGCTTGTGAGCAAGGAAGTGGGACACCTGTGAGGTTATTTAGTAAGTGCACATCTCTCAGCCTCACTGCTAACAACCACTTACATACCGCTCTAAACCACTATTCCGAGCTAGATTAAGATGCAGAGGCAAGTGGCACGTGAGCAAATGAAGATTAGTAATTATCCAATTAATACAATGCCTCCTCCCTTTTATTCCAGATATGAGAAATGAGTGTTGGACGTCGAAGAATAAAGTTGTTGGGTATCCTGATGATGGTAAATGTCTTCATTTATTTGATTGTGGAAGTCTCCAAAAACAGTAACCAAGAAAAAAATGGAAAGGGGGAAGTAATTATACCCAAGGAAAAGTTCTGGAAGACATCTGACCTTCCCGTGGCATATTGGAACCGAGAACAAGAAAAGCTGAATAGGCGGTACAACCCCATTTTGAACATGTTGGCTAACCAGACTGGGGAAGTGTACGGGTTTTCCAATGTAAGCCATTTGAATTACTGTGAACCAGACCTGAGGGTCACATCAGTAGTTTCAGATTTCAGCAATTTGCCAGACAGATTTAAAGACTTCCTGCTGTATTTGAGATGTCGAAACTATTCATTGCTTATAGACCAACCTGGTAAGTGTGCAAAGAAACCCTTCTTACTGCTAGCGATTAAGTCCCTCACTCCACACTTCGCTAGAAGGCAGGCAATTCGGGAATCTTGGGGCAGAGAAACCCATGTGGGGAACCAGACAGTGGTGCGAGTCTTCTTACTGGGCCAGACGCCCCCAGAGGACAACCATCCTGACCTTTCAGATATGCTGAAATTTGAGAGTGAGAAGCACCAAGACATTCTTATGTGGAACTACAGAGACACTTTCTTCAACTTATCTCTGAAAGAAGTGCTCTTTCTCAGGTGGGTGAGCACTTCCTGCCCAGACGCTGAGTTCATTTTCAAGGGCGATGATGATGTCTTTGTGAACACCCATCATATCCTGAATTACTTGAATAGCTTATCCAAGAACAAAGCCAAAGATTTGTTTATAGGTGATGTGATCCACAATGCTGGACCCCATCGGGATAAGAAACTGAAGTACTACATCCCAGAAGTCGTTTACACTGGCGTCTACCCACCTTATGCGGGGGGAGGTGGATTCCTCTACTCGGGCCACTTGGCTCTGCGGCTGTACAATATAACTGACCAGGTCCTTCTCTACCCCATTGATGACGTTTATACTGGAATGTGCCTTCAGAAACTTGGCCTCGTTCCAGAGAAACACAAAGGCTTCAAGACATTTGATATAGAAGAAAAGAAAAGAAATAACATTTGTTCCTATCTAGATTTGATGTTAGTACATAGTAGAAAACCTCAAGAGATGATTGATATTTGGTCTCGGTTGCAAAATGCTCATTTAAGTTGCTAAAATGTATACAAACTAAAGTTTGCATAGAAAGGCATATCTTGAATAGTTCCCATGTTGTGTTCTCTCATTAGAGGTAATTTCTATGCTAAATCATCAAAATTGCCTTCATAAGTATAGTATCCATATGAGGGCCTCCAAACCCTTTTCAATGTGTGGTATTTTCTGAAGATGAAAAGCAGATCATAATTTTTTAAGGAGGATATGGCAGGACAATTGGTTCTTATTCTTTCTACTGGCTGGTGGTCATCATTTTCTAATTTGTTTCCCCTTTTCATCTGAAAAAATAAGTTTCTGGAATTTTACCATTTTAAGTTATTTTTGTTTTGCCCTCGTACTATTCCTACTTTCCATTATAATGAGTGAATTGTCTGCAATTGAGGTGTTTATAAACCTTTTGGCTACAAAGAATTTGTTATACATTACTCAGTGGTTTTTGTGAAATGGAATTAAATTAATTTTTATGAAATTTGGACACATTTTTAAAATTGTCTAGAAAAACTGACTTCTGTTGAAATTTCCTGCCACCCCAACAGTATTTTCTTATTAATCTAATCAGTTAATTTTGTGAAATGAGGATCACTGTGACATTTATCCAGTTTATCTTGTGATCTTACAGTCATAATAAGGAGATTATGATACAAGAACATAATGACTGTTCTTTGGTTTGCTGGGTGGTATCGTAATAATTCTGTTTTTAGTATTTGAAAATAATGAGTATGATTTCATAATGGCCAACTGAAGATTGAATTGACCCTGGCAGTCATATCATGTTTATGATTTTTTTAAGGTGGACCAGGAAAAGCATATGTAACTTTTGAACTTTACATGAAAAGATCAGACTTGCAAATCTTTTCATGAGTGGTTTGTCAGCCTACAACTTCGGGATTCTATTCTCGCCATATTTTCACATGTTGCTTATACAGAATTATTCTAAGTAGTGACTGCTTCCCTGTCTCGGTGTAGAAGTGCCTGTGTTTTTATTTATTGTTCAGATCAATGACCAAAACATTTTCTTAAATATATTTTGTGTAATATTTTATTTGTATACAGTGTTGTTGATGGAATATTTAACTAGAGCATGATATTTTAAATGTTAAGGTGTAACATATGTTAAATAAAGCTGTTACTTTTGAATTTTAAAATTCATTTTTTGGGGGGCCGTTAGCTGCTAGAGTTGACAAAATTCTGCCAAACCATTACTTATATATACCATCTTGTAACATGCTTTCCTGAAAATTTTTTTGTGTTTATAGAGTTGAGGATTCTTACCAGATGTGATACTGGGGACTGTAAGAAGATGGAAAAAAATAAAGTTACTTTATTTTTAATTGTCATGTGTGATGTGTAATAATCTATGATCTCTTTTTGGTTTTTGTATTTGATTACATTTTACCCAAAGAGGCCATTTCCACCCCCAGAAACTATGATAGTAATATTGAACTATAATTTTTTCCTCTGTCTCAATGGATCATCTATCTTTGCATTTAAAATTCTTAAGTGTTTTCCCACTTAGAGTCTTTAAAAAGGAATGTGAATATTTATGCTTCTATTTTCAGTGAGTATAAAAATTTTAATTGGGAAATGGAGCAGCATCTTGAGGACTATATTGTCCTAAGCCATGTGTCCATTTTGGGGTTTGTATCCACAGCGGTGAAATACAGAGACAGCCATGACCACTCAAATTTCTTACCGAGACTCATGTTGAGAAGAAATTGCTAATGGTCAATTAAAAACACATAGACATTTGATGAAGCTCAAACAACAGATTAGGATTGGTGTTGTGAGAACATTTAGCAGACTGTCCTCTCTTACTGGGAACGTCGAGGCCATATATGAGCAAGTGTGAGAACACAGATACTTAATGTGGATTTGAAGATGGTTATAAGCTTGGTCCTTCTAAAGGTTTCATGTGCCTGCATCTGACCTCTCTACTCCAGTGGTTGCAAGCACATCTCCTAGAGAGAAATGCATTACCACATTAGGTTTAGAGAAGAATAACGAAACTTTAAGAACATTCACTGGTAATTGGTTCACCATTTGCATGTGTCTGTGTAACATGACCCTGCATTTTCAAGTAATAGATTTTTCCTCTGAGGGCAATTTCTTTAATTTTTTCTTCTAAGGAATTCACTGATATTTCAAGTTTGCAGAGAAAGATGAAATGTAGCAGGTTTTGAAATAAAGTTTGGAGGACCATGAGGGCCTTGTGTGAGTCTCCAGCTGACATATGCCATTGTTCGAACATAAGTCTTTGATGTTGATGTTTGGTGGGTGAGATGATCTCTGGACCTCCTTGGCAGTTCAGTGTTGTGAGCCTACAACACTGGTCACTGACCTTATGGGCATTTCAGCAAAGGGATACTAGATTTTAGAACTTTATATGTGCTTGGGCTCCGTCATGGTACTGACTGATCCTTAAATCCATGAAACTCTCGGTACCCATGAGATGGCTTCTTCTGTGAGCCTCCATCTCGTGAATGTAAGCATCACAGTAAATTCATTCTTTCAGAACTGCTGAATAATTAAGGCCTCAGTGAAAACTGACATTTGGACTTTTTTTTTGTGGATTCTCCCAAGTCATGTCGATTTTGAATTTGAAGGTCAAAAAGACTGAGTAAGCATTGCCAGAGTTTGGACTTTTCATAAACCTGACCAGGCCTTAAGAGAATAAGGATGAAAGACCAAAATGTCTCATTTCCATCCCTGACCCTGGTTTTACTCATCTCCATTCTTGAGTCAAGGGAGAATGGAAAAGAAGGGCAGGGAGTTGGGGGAATACTTCGAGTCATACTTGGAAGTTGAATCCAGAATGAAAAGCACCCAAAGTGTGACTGTCTCCTGCTATTCTACCTGTGATAATGGTCTGGAATAGTTGATGTTCTGGATCATCTTGACCCCCTCATGCAGAAAGGGAACATACATTTATTAAGGCAAAGGATGACTTATTTTCAGTTCCACAGAAGCCAAAATGAATGAAGCCTTTACTTGGATTAAAAGTTAACTTTTCTGTGATTTGCCTTCTAATGAAAAATTTCAGATGAAGAAAAAATTCTGGAACAGAAAACATACTTCATGTGCTGATCTATTGAGATTTTTGGATAAATTCAGTTTTTCCTTAATGTAAATTCTATATTTATTTTATTTTATAAATGCTAAAAACATCTGCCAAATAATGTTTAAGCTGAACTTATTACAGTCAACGATAAATCTGAAAAATTAAACTATTCTGATTCGTTCAGGTCTCAAAGTAATATACTACAAAGAATTTTTTCCCCTTAATGTCATTTCTTGAAAAGTAGAGGCTGAGAATAAGGCCCTTTTGTCTTTACAGAGCACCCCAAATCTTGTCACATTGCATACGAATTACCATATTTGTTAACTTTAAGATGCGATACTTTTTATATGCCACTAAAAAAACCCTGCCAATTCAGTATGACTTGTATCAGTTGTATGACGTGTCTCAATTGCAGAGATGTTAAACAGAAAGATTACATCTTAGAATAACTGAAAATACAGCAATAAAACACTAATGCTATATACATATTCTCCTTAAGTTGGAAGATGGAGTCCTGTTTAGGTGTATTTTCTGCTTCTCTCACTTTTTTTTTCTTTCACTTTCTGTGTTTAGGAATTTTCACCCAAGCAATCATGGTGGCTTTTGAGCTTTGGCAGTTACTTTCTTCCTGTCTTGTGCATCGTAAAAGGGGATGTACTGATGGCACTGAAGTAGCACAATAGTTTTTAATTCGATTGTATTCCAAGGGCTTATTTCTAAGTTGAGGCCTGGCAGTGGAACAAAGGTGCTTGCAGCTTCCCGATATTGGCTCACATCAGGGGAATATTCTTTCATCCTTCTCAAGCAGTAAGCCACATGAACGTGCATCTTAAGTGTTAGCCAGGGCTCACTCATTGCCTTGGAAACCTCCCATTACATGACTTGCCCTTTCCTAGACTGTCTTCAGCTATGATTCTCTTCCTGCTCATTACCTAAGTCCTGTCTTCCACGGTGCCTCCTGCACAGAACTCAGTAGCCAGAGAGGTGGCCTTGGAAAGGGGGTTCTGAGGCTCATTCACAGACACCACCCCTGCCCAGGCAACACCCCTTTAGCTGCAAAAAAATTCCTAGGTGAATGGGAAGTGGCCAGTCTCTCCCAACCTCAGTCTGGTGTTACCCAAGATCTCCCTGTACATTAAAAAGCCCAGTTCTCACTTTCTTTGAATCAGTGGCCCTCTGGGCTCTTCCTCCTCTCATTCAGGGGTTCAAGGCACTGCACTCAGAATGCCTTTTTTCACTTGTCCAATCTCATTGGAAAATGTACCCAGTCGTGACGTGTCAACTAATCATTGGATAATTTGTTTTTCAGTCTGTGGGGTAGAGAGAAGAAAATGAAGACAGAACTTTGTTGGAACAGTACAAAGACAGCCAACGGGCAGGCTTGCAGGGTTCTAGCAGGAAACCTAATCATGCAGAGACCCAAGGTCTCTGCCAGGTGCCAAGGCACAAGTAACAAGGCACAAGTCCTGCCTGTTTTGCCCATTGGAACCTTTAAGGGTGAACATACCCCCTCCCAGTGCTGCAGTCAACCAAGAGGCCAGAACTGCAGATTCTGCAGCTTCTCATTTGCTGGTGAGATGGGAGAAACCTGAAGAAGCACAAAAATAAAAAATAATCAAACATGAGCAAAATAGCAATAATCTGATTTATTTTTCCTCTTGTGGGATATGAGAAATGAGTGGGGGACATTGAGGGATAAAGTTGTCGGGCTTCAAGTTGGTGGAAAATGCCTTTGATTGCAAAATCTCCAAGAGTGAGTCACCATGGAAAGAATGTAGAAGGCGGGATTGTGATGCACTGTCAGAAAAGCAAGAGAACGTTCTCACTCACCAAGTCCTGGACTGAAGAACAAGACAAACAGAAGATGCAGAACAACCCCATGGAGAGCATGCTGGCTCGTGAGGCTGGGGAGGAGCATTTCATGGTAGGAAGCAGCCTGTCTTGCCAGTCACACCTCCAGAAATTGCAGAGGTGCTTACTAAAATGAGTGTTAGCACCCCCGCTGCTACTGAGTACCTGTTCAACAAATAGGGGCAATTACAGCATAAAACACCCAGGCTGTGGCAGACTTAATGGTATGGTAGACAATTAAAAATATTTCCTGCTTTATCCCAGGGCTTTTTTTGTTGCTGGTAAACCAGCCTAGTAAGTTAATCTCCTGAGATGCGATTGATTTGTGTGGAGAATCTTGCACTTAGAAAAATTTAAAAAATAATTTAAAATGTTCAAATTCGAAGTAAGTTTTGACTTATAGAAAAGTTATAGGACAGAAAGTATCTGTATACCTCCACCTGACTTTCCCTAATGTTAACCTCTTACATAACCATAACACAATCTTCAACATAAACATTGCATCAGTTAACAACAGAAATCGATGATGCTATAATTCTATTACCTACACTATAGACCTTATTTGAATTTCACCAATTTTCTCACTAATATCCATTTTCTATTCCAGGATCCTGTTCAAGATCCCACATAGCACTTAAGTTATTTTTTCTTGGTCTCCTCCAATCTTGGCAGTTCTTCAGTCTTTCCTTGTCTTTCATGATTAATACTTTTGAAGAGTAGTGGCCCTTACAGAACGTCCTTGAATTTGGGCTTGTCTGATGTTTTCTCACAATTAGAATGAAGTTATGTATTTTTGGCAAAACTATCACAGAAGTGATGTGTCCTCAGTGCATTATGTTGGGGGTTCATGATGTCACTATGTCCTGTTCCTGGTCATTTTAATCTTGTTCATTGGGTTTTTTCCTCTGTGAGGTACTACTTTCACTTCGTAGTTAAGAAATGTTGTGGTGGACATTCGTATATTTAGAAGTTTGCGCATTTGAAATGTGCAATAATTAAATGAGTTAATGCATGAAAAGTGCTTATGGCCTAGTATGTAGTAAGGGTTCAATGAATGGTAAGTATCTGTGGCTTTTTTCATCATCAGTATTATTGCTGCCCTTGTCTCAGTTCTGTCTCAAGTTTTCCTTCTCTGGTGTCGGCTACTTTCACTGTTCTTCATTATCCTCTGCATTCCATGCTGATTAACCCTTGACTGGTCACTTCCTCACACTGTTGGATCCCATTCAAATATCTGTGGCCTTAAAAAGGGCACAGAAGAGCTGGATGCTGCTCAGCACATGGGAGTAGATGGGGCAAAGAGCCTACTGTTACTCCAGGGTAGGAGCAAAGCCGTGCTAACAGGAGGAAGGGTTCCTTGCTATAGGATGTGTTTACTTCAGAGGTGGCCTTGGTTGGAGGAGGGGGGCCAGCTGCCCTGTA